TACTTGTTTAATTAATTAAAAAAAGTGTTAGTGTACCCATTAAGTCTTGATAATCATTGGAATCAATTTGCACATTTGCAGAGATCACAACTTCAACAGTTGACATAAAAGAAAGCTCTAGAGGGTGGCTTATCCAAAAAGCAAAAGTAAATCTGGTTAATAGCTCTTCATGCTTCTTTTTGGATATGTCATGATTTACATAAAAACATATTTGCAAGCTGAGATACAATTGTTTTCTCTAGATAAAGTAAAACTTTAAAAGTGATATAACGAAATTTGTTTATTAAACACTACCTGTTATTGGTGCTTATTTAACCATAATGTTATAGTCATTGTGATATTGAGTTTTATCTTTCCTTCTAGCTTGGGTATTGATAGATATGCTTTTATGTTATTTTCTTAGACTAAGATGTTACTAAGGAAGACAAAAAACTTTGATGAATTAATGGCAACTTCTGCTAAAGAAAAAAAGTGGTTAGTTCTAAATTCTATATATGGTTAAGGCAATTAGGTTTCTTACACATTGTAAGTGTATAAGTTATCTTGGTCTTTCTATATGATGGTAATTGAAAAAATACATATTTTTCTTTCAATATTCAATTTTGTTAATTGATTTTTTGGCTTCTATTTTTTCAAATATGTTGCTGCGTGTTGGTATCATTGTGAAATGTGAACTATGCCCTGGTTGATTAAAGAAAATTATGATTTAACCTTCTTTACATGTTGTAGTAAATCAATTTAAGGATGTTTGACTAAGATGCGGTTTGCAAAATGTTTTTTTGTTTAGTAAACCTATTAAGAGGACACTAGACTACCAACCTTGCAATTTGAATTGGTCATTTTCTCACATATCCTATCACTTTTAAAATGTTTGTAATGCTTATCCCAATTTAATCACTAATGGATTGAGATAAATGATTAACTTTTTCTTATAGAAATTTGTTTTATGCAACCAACTTTTTCTTGTTCCCTCCTAAATGTTGGATTCACCCTAGCCTAAAAGTTGTGAAACTTGAAAAAATTATACAGGGAGAGATTGACTTTATTTTGATTATTTATTTTTAAGTATTTTATTTTTTCAATTAAACAAAAATTTATATATTTCAAAATTTTAATTATACTAAAAAAAAGAACCAATAGCAAAGCATGGGCATCACACTAGTATATATTATAATGAAATTGCTTAGCACTTAAAGTGTTAATGTTCAATTAATAGAAAAATAATGAAAATTTTCATGTATAAGCCTTAATTTAGTGGGAGCAAATATAAGCACAAAGATTTTCAATAAGGGAAACACTTTAAATTTTCAAAACTATTGAAATTTTTTTATAATAAACCCAAAAGAATTTTATGAACTCAGTAGAGGTAAATGCCCCGCTTGTTTCAACGTAGATTCATCTTGTAAATTCCTATTTGAATATGAAGATATGAGAAAGAATTACAAATACAATAATATTTTAGGCAATAATAAACAAAATTATTGCAAATGTTTTATTATATTTGTAACTATAAAAAATTGCTAAGATATTATCGCTAATATTGTATCATATTCTACAACAATAAAATAATAATTACTGAAAATTAGTTTGCTAACATTGCCTTCAAAATTTGTATATATGGTTGGATTATTTATGTTAGTCTTTATTTTTTTCAAAAATTTGAAATTTACTTTATGTATTGTAATTCGTATAAATTTAGTTCTCATATTATTTTAATTTGATAATTTTAGTCCAATAATTAATTTTGTTAATTTTTTATCATTAAAAACATTGACATGGCGATTGATTTAATGATGTGATTGTTAACTTTATTGACGTAGCATTAATTAGCTAACGTGATAATTTTGATGGATGAAATCAATTATTAAATTATGTAAATGGTCTCTATACTTATACAAAATTTACGATTTAATCCATGTATTTGAACAAAGTTTGAAATTTAATATCTCTAATATAAAAATTTTTGAATTTTTAAAATTTTTTAAAATTTTAAATTTTAAAAATATTTTAGTCCCTCTAAAATAAAAATATTGTTAAAAATATATTATTTTATTATATATAATTAATTATTTAATAATATTATTATCATTTATATTAATAAATTATAATATTAATAATTTAAATTAATATATCAAAGTCAGTATTATTTTGATTAGTTTAAATATATCATATAACAAAATTTATAACAAATCAAACTATTGAATAAAGTTGCATTGTAATGAACTCTAAATAGACCATGAATAAAAATGATGATTCCATTCAACCAAACAAAATAAGAAATTCAAACTTAGATTCATAAGAAGAACAAGCTCTTATCCATTTAAATGATGAATTTTGAATCTGAACAAAATGAAAAAAGAAAATGATATATTTGATAAACTGAAACATTAATATCATGTATCATAAAAAGAATTTTTAATTTTTTTTGTCTTTCCAAAAAAAAAAAAAACTCATCTAAATAATTATGTTAAATTAAATAATAACGATAATTCTAAACCCCAATACACATTGAGTTTAGTACATTACTTTTATATATTTAGAATCTTGAACTTAGATTTAATTATAAAAAATCATTTAAATAGGGTTTAATTTAAAGGAATATAAACACTCTTTAATGGACAATTTTATCCATATGCGATAGAATTATAATTATAATTCGTTTAATAAATTAATGAAAAAATAGTTTTATTAAAATTAGGTAGTGATAGATTTGTATCATATATTGACAAATTTATGATAGTTTTTAATAAATTTGTGTAAGATGTTTTTCATATGGCTACAATATACTATAATTGTGACAAAAAAAAAAGTATGATAAAACTAGTAACAAATTTTATATTTTATGAAAAATGTAACAAAAAAATGACAAAATTAGTAACAATATTTTATATGTGTGACAAAAAATTGTGATAGATTTAATGATAATATATAAAATTGTGATATAATATTGTGATAGATTTTTTAATATTATGGCAGAATAATGTGGCAATTTTTAAATTTTAATATTTTTAAAAAACTAAAAAATTTATAAAAAAATCAAAATATTTTTTGTATTAGAATAATTAAATTTCAAATTTCATACGAGTATAAAAACTAAATTTTAAATTTCGTATGAGTATAGGAATTAAATTTCAAATTTCGTATGAGTATGAGTATATTAACTATTTATATAATTTAATAACTAATTTCATCCATTCCAATTGCCATGGTAGCAAGTCAACATCATGTTAGTAAAATAAATGACATATCAACAAAATTAATGCCTGTCTTATTAAGTCAACTGTCACATCAGCATTTTTAATAACAAAATTTGATGGAATTAGTAATTGGATTTAGATTATCAAATTAAAATAACATGAGGATTAAATTTGTATAAATTATAATATAGGAATTAAATTTCAAAAGTTTCCAAAATATAAGGATCTTTTGACATAATTTAATCTATTATTTATTTATGCTATTTTCAAGATTTGTGTGATATTTCAAACTAAGTTAGATTGATGGCTCATAAATAAAAGGTTATTATCTTATTCACGGTTGATGGATTAGTTCTTAAATTCCAAAAAAAGATTGACATAGGTCTTATGTTATTATAGTAAAAATTAATTAATATAATTAATAACTAAATGGACATGTAGCAAAATTCTAATCCTACTCATGGAATTAAAGAACTTCACCATCATGTATATAATAATAAATAAAAAAACTCTTCCATATACCAAAAGGAAATCAACCCAAATTAATCCTATTTTTGATGATTAATTATTTTAATTAATCATGCCAATTAATTAAATTCATTTGGTGAAGGAATAAGTAAAAGTGGTTAATATTTCTTTTTTTGTTTCATCAGCTCCATCACTTTTATCATCGTGAGAATATCATATATTCTTTAATCTATTCTTTAAAAAAGTTATCACTAATTTTTTTCTCCAAATCTGCATTACTCTTTAATAAATTATGAAGAATATCATATTTGATATTCCTTCTCTTTTTAGATTGAACAGTGTCAAATCCCATGTGATAGGTAAAAAGAAAAGGTGAATGCAAAAGTTTTATGCATATGTAGTTTATTCCATTAAAACTTTAGAGAAACAATCAATTCCATTAATAATGCATAAATAAATATATTTTTATTATGGTGTTGAAACACAAATGAGACAATGTAATCTTGCATCACTTGAAAAGTTACATTGGATATTTTTATGTAAGAATAATCTTGTCATTGATGATAAAAGATAATGACTAATATCTTAATTTAGAGTCTCAAAGAAAACCTTTAACTTCAACAACTTTTGTTTACTAAGGAAAAGAAACTTTCTTTTTTAAAAATAAAATTAAAAAACAAGTCTTTTTTTTTCAAAGTGAAAATAGCTAGAAAATTTTTAATCCAATTTGTATTCCATCAAACATTCAATGACATAACTAGTAAAATAAAATTATTATTATTATTATTATTATTATTATTATTATTCATGTTTGATTTAATAGAAGTATTTTTTGTATAAAATCATAATTTAAAAAAATTATATGTGTTAAAATTTAAATTTCAAATTTAATACTTTTTTTGTGCCATAATATTAACCTTCCATTGATTTTACAGAATTTAAGAAAAATATTTTGATTTTAGTTTATATATTATTAAATTTAATTTTTTCATAAATTTAAATTTTCATAATTTTTAATGACAAAAAAAAAAAAAATTTTACAAAAATGATTTTATAATATAAAAAAGTAAAACATTTATGTGTTAAAAAAATAATTTTGAGAAAAAAATGGACAAAGAAAATGAAAACATAAAATTACCTTTTAAAAAACAATTATATAAATTAACTTAATTAAATCTCAATTTTTGATTAAAAAAATAAAAACAAAATATGTACGTTATTAAAAAATATATACAAGGCCTTAGGGCAGCTCACATTTAAAGTAGCGTTAAGAACTCGTCAACACATCGAAATCGGATTCGGCCCCACCTCGCATCCGAAATTCCAAAATTGCCCACAATGGCACCCACCAACTCCCCCCCAGTTGCACATGATACCAGTTTTCAGTGTAAATTTCTTTGCCATAAAAACAAAATCTTGCTTTCCAACGTTCTGTTTTGCTTCTTCACTCTTCTCTATCGGGCATTTTCGGACAAAAAACCTATATTTCCCGGTAAAATTTCAAAGATTTTCCCGAGAGAATAATAATTTCCTTTAATTTTTATTTTTTTCTTTTTGTTTTGCTTCTTTATTCATTACCGTGCTCATGAATTGGTTTGGGAATTTACTGAAGTTGTCGAAGATAGAGGAAGTCGGAAATGGCGCCGCCTCCAATTTTATCCTTGACTCTTCCTTCGGAGACTGGTAGAGTTCTCAGCATTCAATCTCACACAGTCCAGGTATTATTCCTTTGTTTTGCTCTTTTCACTTCTTTCTTGTCTTCGTTTGGTTGCTGAGAAAGTTGGAGGAAAATGAAAATGATGACGAAGATGAAGATGAAGATGAATCTTGATTTTTCTAAATATGAATTTTCCTTTTCTTTAATTTCTATAAAAGTATTATTTTTACCTTGCCCGAACGTAATCCGCATTAAAAGTCAAAGATTGTGAAAATATGGTTTGACTTTCAGAAAATTAAAAAATGTTAATTAGAAAACATTGAATTTTTATCTGGAAAATTTTTTTGCCTCATTTAACGTGATAATAATTTATTTTGTCAAGTCTAGTGAGTACGTTTATTTATGAATTGGTTGTCTCAGTCTCACCTTTAAATTTCTACAATAACTGTGCCATTTTAGGGAGTAGAATGCTTGAGATAGTTGTGGGACAAGTAGCATTACTTTTTAAAGTTTTCTCCTCAGGGATATGTTGGTAATAAGTCAGCAGTCTTTCCTCTCCAACTATTAGGCTATGATGTGGATCCAATCAATTCAGTGCAGTTTTCAAACCACACAGGCAAGCTGCTTTTACTACTATTCAAAAGTCTGATAAATCTGAGGCCTGATATGCAGTGCGATGTCAGCTGTCTATCTGTATAAGTTCAGGCTTGGTGTTCTGACCAAAATACATCGGCACATAGATTAATCTATCTGAAAACTGTGCAGGATACCCAACATTTAAAGGTCAGGTTTTGAATGGACAACAACTATGGGATTTGATAGAAGGCCTTGAAGCAAATGATTTATTATACTACACTCATTTATTAACAGGTATCTTAACTCTGGTAGTTGCTTTGACGGTTGAGGTTGCTTCATGCTCTAATTCTCTCTAGATTGTTATATAATATTTGCTTCATTTATCAAAAAAAAAAAAAAATGTTATACAATATTTAAAAGAAAAGGAACGTATAACATTACTTGAAAAGAAGAGAAATTATCTGCTATGTTTTGGGGTGGTTCTTTGGAATTTTCCACTCACTATGGAGAAAGGAAACAAAGTAACACATCCTATGTTGGATATTTAACTTGTGTTGCAAAAATTATTAACATTGGATGCTTTTTTCCTGGATTTCCGTTATTTTGTTAATTCTGATTTGTACGGTAGCTTTTATCATTTGGAGACATATTTAACTTGATAAAGGGGAAGGGCGGGGGGAGGGATTAGAGAAGAAAGGAGTTAGCATTTAAAGTAATAGTTTCTTAGCAATGAATGCCCCTGAATGATATAAAATTATATCATTTTGAGAGAAGGGAGGGGGTGGGGGGGAGAGGGCAGACAAATAATAAGGAAGGTAGCCTTTGAAATAATAGTTTCTTAGCAATGAATTAATCTCTTAATTTGTTTAGGCTCCTTTTGATTGTTGATTTTAATACTTACGTTTTTGCTTCCTCAAAAGTTGCTATGAAGTAAAAGGAAATGGTAAAAGGAAAAATTTTGATTAAAAACAAACAAATAACTAATATGCAACATCAATTTAATATACTTGTGCTTTGATTGATTCATTTCAATGTTTGGGCAATTCATCAATTCTTTGAGATATTAGGCTTGAAGATGCTAGGCAGTTGTATTGGTATATTTGCATCATCACTGACATGTAAACAATATTCTTTATTTATGCCATTAGAAATAGCTATTCAACATAATTGGTTTTTATTAAATTTTTATTTCTTTGTTTCTGCAAGCATCTAGTGGATTTACTTTTTTGTTGCTGAAATAAATTTGACTCTTTGCTGTTTGAATTTAAGTATTTATGCTGATGTTTAATTGTTAGGATAAAACATTTAGATAATGATTGAGCTATCATGACATTTGCTTACCAACAGTCCACGGTTATCTGTTTAAATATCTATTGCTTCCTATTTTTTCCTGGTGAATTTGCAGGTTATATTGGTTCTGTTTCCTTTTTGAACAAAATATTGGAGGTTGTAGATAAGCTTCGTTCTGTAAATGCAAATCTTACTTATGGCAAGTAGACTACTCTAATCTCCAGAAGCTATTGGACCTTATGTTAAGCGTTGCTTGCTTGTGTTTGGTCCTTTTTGAAAATTTTTTTATCGGTGGTCCTTTTGAAATTTATTCAACCTGTGTTTACAAAAGATGATTTGTTTAAATCCTCATTTAATGATATAACTGATTAACATTTTATTCTTTATCTTTTGCATGCATAATGTGAAATTACCCATTTGAGACAATTTTAGGCTAATGGATGTAGAAATTGGAATCCTGCACTACTTCAATTTTTAACCAGAAACTTGCAAAGTTTCCTCATCCTTTCTTCTGTTAACTTAATATGACACTGAATGAAAAATGGCTTTCCGGTTAGAATCATTTCTGATCATCAATCATGCTTGATGCGCTATTTAACTTTGTTAGTGTCTACCTTTATTGTAAGAATGAAGATTGACAGTTATTTTGACTTAATGTTTAATGCACTGCCCAACCCCCTTTCCCCTCTTTTCCCAAAACAAAAAAAAAAAAAAACCAACTACAACAACAAAGAGAGACTCTTTTTGCTGAGGTGTGGTGTTTCTTGTCTAGTTTGTGATCCAGTGATGGGTGACGAAGGAAAGCTCTATGTCCCTGAAGATCTGGTATCAGTATATCGTGAAAAGGTCAGCAATCAATTATCTGAAAACTTCCAAGTGTTCTATTTCTGTATCCTTTGTGTACATTTTCAATATTTTGGCATGTAGTTGTCTCGTTCTTTCATTTGCAGTAAACCCATCGGGAACTGCATTTTTTATGTATGAGTTGATTAGAACTTCTAAATTGGGTGCTTAAATTGCAATAATTTGGTTATTCATCTTGGAAAAAATCTACAATAACTATCTTGATGCAAAATTAGCTGTTTAAGTTATAGTTGGTAATTTGTTATACTTATTTGTAACTCCTTCTTATGTTAGGTTGTCCCAGTGGCTTCAATGTTGACTCCTAACCAGTTTGAAGCAGAGTTGTTGACTAAATTGAGGTATTTTCTGACCCTTGCAAAGAGGGTGATACGTTATAAATATTTCATCTGTAAAAGGATTTCCAAAATTTGAATTCTGAAAATTTTTCTGGGTTGATTGGTATTTTTGAAAAAACCCGGGTTTTTTTTTTTTTAATTTTTGCATGTTTATACTAAATGCAAAGCATCAGTTATGATTTCAAGGAGAATTGCTTGGTTTTCTTCTATTTGCATGGTGCAATAGACAAATAGATACCATTTAGGAAGTGGTATGACTCTTTCTGCCTAAAATCAGAGAATATGAGTCACTGATTATGGCTCATTGCGATGTTCACTGAGGTGTTTCTAGAGTTTCTGATAGCCTCATTTATTAACAAGATGTTTGGAAAGGAGATTTCATCTTTATAAACTATGAGATGTATAGTAAAGCTTTTTGACAGGTTGCTCTTCCTTTTCAATAAAAGAAATCGCTCTTCAATTTTCAGGCTTGGATAAATTAATAGAAATGAAATTCAAAGCATGCGTTTTTCTATATCATGTATGCCTGATGGTAACCTTTCGGTATATACATCTTTTTCCCTGTTTGCTAATTGTCTGATGAACAAAACCACCCTTTTCAAAGCTGAATCAGGATAAGTAAATTCATATAACTCAAACTAATAGGTTGTTACTAGAGGAAAAGGAAAATGAACAGATTCGGAGGGTCATACTTTTATGCCCTCTTTAGCCAAATTTAGATTTTATTTACCCTATTTTTGGACTGAATATGCTTGAACACACAAACTGGCCTGCTAGGGGGTTGAAATTTTGGCCCTTGGCTAAAAGAGAAGCGTGTTTCTTTTAGCATTTCAGAGGCCATCCAACTTGACTTATCTCGGTTCTAAGAAGAGGTTTGTTGGTTTATTTTCTTTTCAACTTGTATTCCTTTCCTGTCTGTCTTTGTAAGGTTGCCTCAACATAATTCTTGGTTATCTCTCCCTCTTCACAAAGTGTTTCTATATGTTACACTAGGATTTGAACCTTATAATCATTGTTTGGCATCTCTATTTTGCTTTGTTAGCAATTTGTATCAGAATGGAGTTACTATTTGCATATCTATCTTGCCATGTTTTATGGTAGTAGGCTTTCTTTTGCTGCATCTTCTGCCTTCAATTGCAGTTTCTTAGAATATATTGTTGCTGCAGGATTGTTTCCGAAACGGATGGTCGGGAAGCTTGTAACATTCTTCATGCTGCTGGGCCTTCAAAGGTTCCTTTTTTTCTATATCTCGTACCTGTTAAAGGCTTGGAACTTTGATCATGAAAGCTCATTATCACTGCCTTAATTTCTTTTGCCTTGTCAATCTGCACCTAGTGGAAAGCTGACTAATTTGTTTTATTTTCCATCATTATAATGTTATGAAAATGAAATGTCTTTAAAACCAGGAGGTTTTTGGTGCCTTTACGTTAACAGAGGATTTGGAGTTAGGAGCATCAACTCCAAAATAATTCCGGCAACCCCAATATGATGACAGACAGATTAAAGACTAAGATAAAGTTAGCTTGAGAGGATGTAACTCTGCTTGAAGGCTCCTATCCTAAAGTCTGAGCTCAACCAAAAGAAACGAATATTGCCCATTCCTAAAATGTGCATAGAGACATGAACATGCAGACGGAGATACTCGAAAAACATGATATTAATCCATTAGTTTCTTATGACTTTTGCAAATTGTATATGATGAAGATAGAATGGATTCTGTGGCTCATATTATGGATGGTGGAAAATTACTTCATAATTAATTGTACATTTTTTATGGTGTCTTTCAACCTATTATTGTTATAAGATTAGAAGAAAACTGAGCATTATCTTTCTACGCAACTAAACTCATCCTACACTTTAGCTCCTTTATGCAGGACATACTTAACTTGAACTAATTGTGAATATGACTACATCTCATATATGCTTTATACCATATTTTGTGAATTTTGATCATCACAGGTTGTGATTACTGGCATCGATATTGGAGGTAATCTTCTTCTCATTGGCAGTCATCAGAAAGATAAGGTGGGTCTGCTGAATGTGACCCTGTACTCTTGACTTTATATTTTAACTGCAAGGTCCTTTGAAATGTAATCTATCATTAATATCTGGATCAGTTGATTTCATTGTATGTTCTTGCACTTGCTGCTTTTTTAATAGCAGTAATTGTTAATGCTGGCATTTCTGCATAATACAGCTAGAAACAGCTTTTTGAGCACTGAGAAGGTTTAAACATATTATTTACATGACATTTATGCTTCTCTGTCTTATCTTTTATTATAGATAAATTTTTGTGGCTGAAGGACTTCATCTTGAAGTTCAAATGTGTCTTTCGTATTGAGTTGAAGATTGAAATGAGGGACTGAATATTCTGCCTTCTATTGAACTAGGAGTAAAAATGTAAAAGTAGAAGGGTATATGTTTCTCATATTTTATTCTGAAATAAGTATTCAATGGGTTTCAGGATTAGTACCCTGCAGACAGATAGGGTTGGCTTCTAATACTGTCTGTGCTACCATAGAGGTGATCATTGTGCATTTGTTATGATCAAAGGATTAAGGATATCAATATAAAACCCTTAGCTACGATGACTTAAGTAGATATTCAAAATTTCACATGCCTACTGCATACCAAGAAGAAAAAAATGATACCTCCCTACACTTAAAATTGAATGTGTCTGTCTCACTATATTTGTATGTTAAGAAAATGTCCACTTTCTCAAAATTAGATAAAATAAACTGACAGGTATAGAATAAAATTTTCTAATAAACCACATTGGTTTAGGTGGGTCATCCTCTAGCTTTTATGGAACCCTTTTGGCCAGTGCTTTTATGGAACTTAAAGGGTAAAATTGGAGAGTAATGGACAAAGTACCTCTTGCATAAAACTGTGCCATTCAGAAATTGGAAACTTGATTTGAAATTAAGGGAGTTTCTAATTAATGTTCCTGAAAAGCTATGCATGAAGTTAGCTGAACAAAATAGTGTGAAATCTATCATTGATTGCTATTTGCCCCGGGGAGATGCTTATACAAGAAATTGTATTCACTTGATAAGCTATTGCACTGAATGAAAGTGATTTCACTACTTGACTTTCTCGTTTTGCTTCTGATTCTTTGCTGCTGTCTCGTTAAATTATTTTTATGGTAATGTTCGACTCCAACATGATGTCCTGATTCATGAGTGTCAGCAAAAAGTGCACTGATAAACAACAATGTTTGCTGTGTATTTTATGCTTTATTTCTCATTGTTAAACTGATACACCCTTTTGGTTGGTGGTTTTATCTTATTCATAACTGTTCAAGAATTCTGACAAGCGTTCTCTATTTATCATGGTATTGAATTTGATAGGAACATTCTCCTGAGCAATTCAAGATTGTGATACCAAGAATTCCTGCATATTTTACGGTAGGCAAAATTTCCTCATGAATTCCTTTTATTGAAAATTGAAAATGGTTATGGACTGGTTCTAAGGTCAAGTTCTGTCAAGTCTCTACAACCTCTAGGCACATTGACTTTCTAACAATCCCCAGGTATCAACACAAACAACCATAAAAGGCTTGGTGTCTAAAAAGGAGATGGAATAGCCCTAAGACCACATCATCGTGAATGAAAAAGTTCATGTCAAGAAATTTTTTTTACCAGCAAACAATTATTTGGAGAGAGGAGGTGCTAGCTTTCTTTTTTGGCATATATAGAAGCCCAATGGGCTTTGGCCTATATAAGTGTAATCCTCACGCATCCTATTAAACCCATCCTTTTCCCAAGGTTGGAACTTCTGACTTTAAGTTTAAAGTCCTCAAATCAAATCTTTTGGCTGCTGGAAGCCAAAGTCTAGCTAGTAGTTATGTGCATAAAGCACGATAGTTTTGCTTTTATGTTGTTGTGAGGAAATTGAATTGCTGATGACTTTTGACAGATTCAAGGAAGTTTGTCTACTCAGGCTTTGGTTTGGTTTTGAGGTTTAAATGAAGGGATTTTTGGGTTTGTGGTTATAAAGAATGGTGTTCAGGATTAGTAAATGAACTAGCATTTTTGTTTGATTGACACCACAACTCAGTTAAACTCTATAGTAATGACCTATCAAATATAAGAGGGGCATTTTCCTTTGAGCCAAGATGATTTTTTTGTTATTGAAGAACCCATGCATTTGGTCTTTCTTTTCTAAAGAGGATAAATTTTGTCCAATCAAGCTATTAATACACTATCATAAATGTGTAGAAAGGTTCATTTAATTTCGAATCTATGTTGAATATATTTTTGGTATTGCCCTATTGACTATGAAAGGATTGCCCTCAGTAATGTCAAGTATTTGATCTAGCATGCATACTGATTCAATTGACCTTCCTAATATCTAACAAAATTGACTGCCCTGCAAAATTTAATGCCTGTGTTTCCATCCCTTAAGGTGTCATTAGTCTATAAATAATTTATAATAAAAATGAATAACTATGTAAATCAAGTCTCAAAATAAAAGTTTTACTGAAGTGAAAAAGCAGACTGTTATCATCACTTACTTGATTCTTGTTGGTCAAGCATGCAACTCTATCACCTAACATTTCAGCTACTGGCATGTTTAATGACATGGAACTATTTTAGGAGGAAAAGAACGTTATTATATAATTTTTTTGCAACATGATTATACTAGTTCATCTCTTACTAGAGATATGAACTCAGATTTTTATAGATGGAAGGTATATCTTGGAAAAAGCCATGTATTGTTGGGTCATATAATAGATCTCTGGACCTATCAGCACCATTACAGATCTTTGCTTTTCATACGTTCCCTTGATGGATTATATTATTGCTGGAACTTTTGAAAACTGTGATAATTCAGTCACCAAACTCTGTTTTATTAGACACTATAAGTGCTGAAGTCCATGTGGAAAATCTTAACTTCTGATAATTGTTGAATACTTGAATATAACAAACTAAAGCCTTCCTGACCCTTAATTTGTTGCAAAACTGATCCTGCAAGAAGATTTTAGCATACACTTTAAAGAATTACTTAAAAGAAAAACAATATGTTTTTCAGTTGTGTTTTCCCCACTTTCTTGCAGATGATGAAGTTCACAAATTTTTCTTACTCGTGATTGAATATTAGCTTTATTTGCAACTATAGTAGGACATTGTTGTTGTGTTCCTTTTTGTTGGTTGTACTTCATTCTTTGTATACTCACTATGCAGTACTGCTATGATTTTGCTGATGAACATTCATATGTCTGTAGGGAACAGGAGATCTAATGACTGCACTTCTACTAGGGTGGAGTAATGTAGTTCCCTTGCTTTTATTCCTTCCTTAACCTAGTATGTAAAGGCTTAATTTCTTACATTTATGCACTTTTGTTCTGCCCAGAAATATCCCGACAACCTTGACAAGGCAGCAGAGCTTGCAGTATCAAGTTTGCAGGTATTTATTCTTTTGGTTCTTGTATCTCTAGTCAGATTAACATCATGTACTTCTGGAATGATGAAAAGCCCTTTTTCTATCTGCATCTTTATGTAGATTTGATAGATCTTATATTTCAAGTTTACACACAGTTTCAGAAGCGTTTCAAGTAATGAATCTTTGTAGGAAATGTCATTACAAAGCACAACAGTCTGCCTCATTATTAACAAGAAAAATGCCCTGAGTTTATTTGAGAGGATTGATGATGAACTTTTTAATCTTGGAATCTAGAGAGGATTAATAACATTTTGTTCTAATGGAATTCGTTTTTGACCCTCTGAGTTACTTCAAGACCATGAACCAGAACTATTATGCAAAAGACATATCTTTTGCTTTCAAAATTCTTCATGTGAATGGATTATAGGTTGATGCAATTTGATTGGTGAATTCTAAACTTCAGGACATCTTACAGGACATAAATATAGTGAAATAAGAATCCTTTAAATCTGAACCTTGGTGAGATTGTGTTTACATTACGGAGGGATGAATTATTCTTCAAATGTTCCTACTGATTTTTACTTTATCAAGCCCTTTGAGTAGGTGTATATGTTCAGTATTTTGACTTATAAGGCCAATACTGTGGCTATTGACATCACACTCCAAAATACACACACACACACACGCTTGCAATATGAAAAGAGAGAGGCCTTGTGAAAGCCTTGTCCAGTGGATTCCTCTTTTTCTTCTTATGGCCATTAAGCAGGGACGTACGGTGTTTAGACACCCATCTTGCTTTGGGTTCGGATGGGATGTTTGTTTGCCTTTTGTCCTCATGCCTGAGTGGGGTCTTATGATTATTTCTGACAACCATAGGAATTTATATGAGGGCAAAACTACTTATGATCTTGTGCACTTAATATGTATTTAATTCTCATTGGTGTCTATTCGGTATGTCTAATGAACAATTCCTTGCTGTTTTATTCTGTGGATATTTTATCTTCAAAACCATATTGCATTAATGGTTCGACTTTTATGCAGGCACTTTTGCGGAGGACGGTGAATGACTATACAAGTGCTGGATTTGATTCTCAATCAAGCAGTTTGGAGATCCGGCTAATTCAGAGCCAGGATGACATCCGCAACCCAAAATTGACATTTAAAGCTCACAAATACACCTGAATGCCAATACCTGATAGTGATATGTATTGAATTGTAATAATCCTCCTGTTGTTTTCCCATTAGAGATGTATTGCTATACAAAATTTATAGCAATGTGCCAGAACTAAGGAGAAATACAAAATGGATCGATGAAGACTCTTGGAACTGCAAGTACCTTAGAATTATGTCACAAGATATTTTCATTTTTGCTTCACACATTCAATTATTCATTCTTTGTTTCTTGCATGTTCTATCCACATTTTGCAAGTCAAACGAATGATATTAATTTTGATTTTGTCAAAATAGCTATCTTTGCCTTAAAAGAATTAATGAATCTGATGCATTTTACTATTTAGGTTTTTGAAGTTTACTAGGGCTATTCATAGAGGCCATGGTCAACGTTCATATCTTATAAGGTCCAAGGTATAGGAAAAAGAATTTTATTTTGTTTTGTAGTCTTATTATTTGGATTGTTCCTTAAATGGGGTGCATTTTAGATTTTTCCCTTTTTTTTTTCCGAAATGGTGATTAATTGACATATTGCAAGTAAAAAATAAATGTTTTAGTGTGTTTGTCTTTGTCTATATTGGAGTTTGACATTTTATTTTTGGTAAATTCATGGGAAGGTAAGCTACTAGCATTAGTAATAATTTGTTTAGACAAAAACAAGAATATTTCTGTTTTTTTTATATGAACATTAACTTTCATTCGTAATAAAACAAAAAAAAAGGAATTTTTATTGAGTTTAGTTTGTGTTTTTAGGTATGAATATAGTAAATAAAGTCTTTTGAGTGAATTTGAAAGGGAACTTTCAAAGCTTAGTTTTTTAAAATGAAATAAAAAAAGTTATTGAGTTTAGTTTTTAGTTTTTAGGTGAGAACATGATGAAATCTTTGAGTGAATATGAAAGGTAACTTTAAAAGTTTAGTCCCATGGGGTGAGCATCTATAGTTAGCAAAGGTTTTAGCTAACAATTGACAAAGGTGATGATTTTAGGTTTAAATTTGAATTGAATTTAAATTGAGAGTGAGAGAATGAAGAAAAGAAGGGAAAGGATGTGAACGAAAAATGTGTTGTTAGGATGTGTGTATTTAGAAGAAATAAAGAATTATATTTGAGATGTGAGGTATACTTAATAATAGAATGTTAAAAAAAATATATTTTTTGGGTTTAAATAGAATTTTCTTAAATATAATACAATTTCAAGGTTCGTTTGCAAGTTCAACACATGACAAGTCAACCGTAGGTACAATTACAAGCTACCCTAACTGTCTAGAAGTAGTCCCATGCGAGGCGGTTTCCAGGCAGTCAATGAAAAGCATATCTAGACTTATTCAAAAGCACATCAAGACTTATTCAAAATTCTACACGAGTTACCACCAAATTTCTAAGTCCACTAGAGAAAGTTTCCCATGTTTTTTCTGCACACTTAATTTTATAATGACATTTTTAATTTCCCTGCTGCAATTAAGAATCTAACTGGTGGGGAGTATACCATTTATTATTTATTATTATAATATTATAATTATTTAATTATAATAAAAATTATATAAAGATTTATCATTTATAGATACAAGATTTATATAAAATTTTAATGAATTTTACATAATTTTAAATTATAATTAATAAATTATATTATAAATATTGTAAGTGAAATATTCTCATCAATATCACTTTATTTATTAGTTTGAGAAGCATCAATTTTTTCTTGATAGAATTATTAATTGATGCATTTTTATATATTTGTTTTGTGGTTAATACATATAAAATATAAAAATTAAAAATTATTATATTAGAATTTATTTCACTCATTATATATAAAATAATTTTTTTGTTAAATCTATTTATAATTTTTATTAAAATTTTAAAGGTTATTTTTTATTATATTACCATACCTCTTTAAATTTACTAAATCTATATTTGAGGCAACAGCCGTGTGGGACCAAGGATAATATCGAATGGGGCCAAGGATTATAACCTATTGGCAGCAGGATTATTTTACTGAGTCCATGCATTGTGTTGAATACAACCAAAGCGATCAAACTTCCAACAATTCATTTATTCCCATCCAGTCCTTTTATTAACAAAAAGTAATCATTTCTTTCCATTTCAAAACACCTTAACCAATCCAATTGCTCTCCTTTAAAGAATGACTGAAGCTATTGTTTCTGCAGTGCTGCAAGAGCTCACGAACTTCGTCTTTGAGAATGCTCAACAGGAGTTGAGGTTGCTGACTGGAGTTGAGAGAGAAGTCCAAAACCTTGAAAATAACTTCAAGGCCATCCAAGCTGTGCTTAAAGATGCCGAGGTAAAGCAGATGCAGAGGGAAGGAATCAAGCATTGCTTGGAGAGGCTCAAAGATGTATCCTATGACATGGAAGATGAATTGGATGAGTGGAACACTAGAATCCTCAAATCCAAGATTAATGCTTCTTCATCAAAAAGAAAGATAACTTCCCTGATCCCAAATTTTCCATTTGGTCAAGTTTTTAGGAGACGTCGCGCTGCTACGAGAATAAAGGAAATATAGAAGAACTAGATCAGATTGCTAGATAAAAAGACAGATACCAGCCGGGAAGTAGAGAAATAAAACAGCCTAGATCAAGAGAAAATGTGTCCTTTGTTGATGTTTCAAAATTACATGAACGAGATAAGGATAAAGAAAAGACAACAGGACTTTTGTTGTCTGAGACTAGTGAAGCGAATGACATTCAAACCATCTCTGTTGTAGGGATGGGAGGGATTGGAAAAACAGCTCTTGCTCAATTAGTTTACAATGACAATGATGTTCAAGCTCATTTTCATGAAAGAATTTGGGTTTGTGTCAAATGCTTTGGATCATATCAAAGTTGCAAGAGACATCCTTGCTGCTCTTGAAAAACATGACATTAGCCTCCCTGATTCAGCTTCATTGCAAAGCTTAATTTCCCAGTAAAATTCAAAACAAAATTGAAAACAAAAAATTTCTTCTTGTTTTAGACGATGTGTGGACTGAGCATGATGAGGATTGGGGACCAATTGAAGCCACTTTTAAACATTGCATGCATGGAAGTAGGATTTTGGTGACAAGTCGTAAAGAATCTGTTGCAAAAAAGATGAAATCCTCTTCGATCTTGCAACTTGAAATGTTGCTTGACGAGGAATGTTGGAGAATACTTAGTGAAGTAGCATTCCATGGAAGGGACAGAAAAGAATGTGAAAATTTAGAGGACGTTGGGAGGGAAATAGCAAAGAAGAGCAAAGGGTTGCCACTTGTTGCAAAAACTCTAGGGGGCTCTTGCAAGAGAAAGAAACTAGAGAAGAGTGGAAAAATGTGTTACACAATGACATATGAAAGATGAGTTTGGCGCGGGAATATGTCTTTACACATCTGCTTTTAAGTTACTATGATTTACCTTTCCCTATAAAACAATGCCTCCTATATTGTGCCATTTTCCCAAAAAATGTTGATATATCTACATTTTCACTGATTCAACTTTCGAGCACACATGGTTATTTAAACTCCAATAATGAAAATTCAGAGGAATTAATGGGTGAAAGGTGTTTTAAATGCTTAGTAACTCGATCCTTGGTTCAAGATTTTTTGAAAGCTGTAACCGGTAGTATAATTTCATGTAAGATGCATGATATTGTGCATGACTTCCTTCAATTTTGGACAAAAGATGAATATGTAATGGTGGAGGTTAATAAGGTTGAAAAATGGATGCTGAATATATCTGCCAAGAAAGTTCGCCTTTTGACGTTGAGATTTCCAAGACCATCAAATCATTTTCCTATGTCCATCAACGGAACAAAAAGTTGCGAAGCCTTATCTGGATAAGTGCCGATGATGCACTATTGACTAAAGAAGCCTTGCTTAACTTAATCAATTGTTCAAAACGTCCGAGGGTATTGAAGATTCACTTGTCATTTGGTGATTTTGTCAAAGTCGAAATCCCAAAAGAAATTGGGAAACTGATGCATTTGAGGCACCGGAACTTGTCTTTTTGTAGGCAAATAAAAAGATTGCCTGAAACGGTGAGTGAATTACATAATTTGGAGATGTTGAGTCTTATGCATTCTTGTAACCTTGAGAAACTACTGAATGGCATAGGGAACTTGTCCAAGTTGAAGAATTTTTCTTGTGTAGGCTGCTTTAGTCTAAAGTGTTACCCTAAATGGATCGGGAGATTGACTTCCCTTAGGATCGTGGAGGGGATAACAGTGAGAGGTGATTGCAATGACGCAAAGCAACTTAGTCTTGGGGATTTAGAAAACTTGCATCAGCTTCGTATGCTATCCATTGAACTTAGTGGGAAATGCGATTGATGAAGATGAAGCTAAAAGAGCCAAATTCCACAACAACATACACATGGAGCACTTAATTATTATTGCAAAAGATCTGCAAGAAAATGAGACAATCAAGGCGTTAACCCTACCTCCCAATATTTCAAGGCCATATTTTTGGAGGATCACAACATCTTGTTGAAGATATTTCTAGATTGGAGCGTAGTAGGTATTATCTGTCCTATTCCTTTTTCTGCATTTATTAGCACGTCTCTTTTCTTCAAATGCTTTAAATTTTAAAAAATATATATATATATTTTAATTAAGTATCTTAAGAAAATAATTTTATATAGAATATGAGGTAGTTTTTTATAGATTAACTTGTTTTTATAATTTTTTTATTTCATAAGTGAGATTAAGAGATTAACACATTTTATTTTTTAATAATTTTATTATTTTTTAATATATTTTAATAAATATGTATCATTTTATTTAGCTCATTTGTAAATTAAAAAAAAATTCATTTACAGTGAAAAAAATAATTTCTCATACAATGTATAATCCGGATTGGTAGGACACAATACCGAAGGGGAGCGTGAAACTGCAAGGCGTGAAGTGAAGAATTTGCTTGGTTTGAACTTAAGAGAATTGTTTGTGGTGAAGATTCTATTTCTTGTTATATAGCTAGTATTATATATATTTTTTATAAAATAATTAAAAGGGATGATAAATTTCTCCGAAAATCAGACAACCAGCTCAATTTCTCGTTTCGTTTAGAAGTCTCACAGCAGCCATTAGAGCTCACAGAGTCAGAGACTCTGAGTCAACCTAAGGGGGTAAATTTGTAAAAGAAAAGCCCCAACTCATGGATACAGAACATCTCCAAACACGGATTGACGAATGAACATTCTGCTAATGCAAGGTTTTGCGGATCCGTACTCAAATCTCCTTTATATAACTTTCCTCTTTCTTTTTCCTTACCCCAAAAAATAAATACTCAATTTCGAAACTTTCCGAATTCCCATTCTTTTGATTAATAACCAAATCCCAGCAAGCCCCACGAACCCAAACTTGATCTGCAGTTTTCCAAGGTAAAATTTCTCTCATTATCATTGTTTGATGAATTTCTATGTTAAATCATGGTTTCTTTATGGTGAAAACCTTATTTAAATTCATGGGTTGTACATGTTCCTGCAGTATATGCTGTTGCAGCTGAGAAGTTAGGGCATAATTAACTTTTCTTAGTCTTTTTTTAAGAGATTAATTTTTGTATTAGCAAACCAATTTTGGTATAATTTTGTTAATTTCTTTCCTACGGAACTTGAATCTGAAATTACCGGGGGGGGGGGGGTATTTGTTCTAAAAGATGCTGGATAATGAAAATCGGGTGGTTAAGTTTATTCTTTGCCATGGAGGAGTTTTGAAATCGGGCTTTGCAGGCGTATTTTGGCTGGATTATTATTGGATGATTTCGATTGATAATAGATTTCTGGGATTTTTGTGTTATTTTGGTATTGGGATCAATCAAGGAATGGTTCATTAACAGTGTTTTCTAGTTCATGTGAAAGTTGGTTGGATTCGGCCATCTCCTACCTGTTAAACCTCAACTAGTTTCCCCAATATTTGAACCTGATGCTTATTTGTTTCTAACTGTTTCAATGCCCCGCTGGGGACAATGCAATTAATTTGAAACATCCATCAAGATTCAACATTGTTGAATCCCCCTTAGGCCTAAAAAGAATGGGGTCATTTAGGAGGAGGATGAGATAATATACCCTTTTATCCTACCCTGTATTCTGGGTGGATAGGATATAGGATAGGATACAGTAGCTTTGGCTTCTATTCACCCCGGGTTAAAGTTGAACTGGGATTCAGAGATGAGTTGGATAATCATAGGAATACGGCATAAACTCATAGTCGTATGATTCCTGTAAGCTTTTAGAGGTTTGATACTTTACTAAGCATTTGTCAGGCCTATATGCATGTTATGCTCCGTGTCTCTCTAATACATGTCTTTAAATTTGTTTTTTGATAGCATAGATTGGTTTCAATTTATGAATGCCAAAGTCATGTTTTTATCATCTTTTAAGTTATTCTCCTGAAAATAATTCTCTTTAGTTATAAGGAAAGAACTTATACGCACTTTTCTTTAACAATCATGTTGTTTTCAGCAGCGAGGAATGCAAGATCCAAGGGTGCCACCATCAGAGGAAGATTTGAATCCTAAGCTATGGAAAAAGAAAAGCTCGGCTAATAAAGCACCATTGTTCCATTTAGAAAGGAATGACATTAAAGGGGCTCAGCAGGTACAGGGATCTCTCCCATCAAGAACAGGGCAAAAGACTTCCAAAAGGAACTTGAAGAATGAAATCTCTCCAATATTGCAGCAACCTGAGAGATCAAATTCAGATTCATTGCCAGACTCTACTACATCTGGAAATGAGTACAGGGCACTGAGAAGGAAGTATTTGCTACTGGAGGAAGAAAGCTTTGCATTGGGTAAAGAGCTGAAAGAAGTTGAAGATGAGGTCAAAGCACTTGAAGATGAGAAGCTTGCCCTGCTGGATCAGCTTGTTGTATTAGAAGGTCTGATAGATCCTTCAGAAATGCAATCTCACTAAGTATAGCTATGTTAAGTAACTTTTGTGCTTCATTGCTGGTCGAGATAATGTGCTTGTATATTGCTATGGAATATAAATTCTTAAATAATCAACTGAAGATAATGTTTGATCCCTAGTCGTAGTCTTCTTTTATGTGTTCTTATAGATTCTTATAGGTGAAAATGATGCCAGAATACTTGCAAAGAATAAGTTGTCCCTCGTCCTAAGTAAACGAGCTCCCAAAGAGAGTTCTTGCTTATGTTCTGCTACTGAAACTGGTAGGCATTGCATTTCAATATTTAAAGTTGTCTGATTCATTTCCTCAATTTGGTATGAATCGATGATATTGACCAGCATGGGACATTCATTAAAGTAGAGTTTTGCTGCTTTTATGGATTATAATTAGTTTTGAGGTGGTTCGTGTAGTCACCTTTATTTGGAATGAATGATAGCCAGCGTGGGACATTCATGAAAGTAGAGTTCTGCTTTTATGGATTGTAATTAGCTTCTGAGGTAGTTCATGTAGTCACCTTTTAGAGGTGACTTCTAATAGGTTTGATGTTTAAGTTTTGGTTCAAGTTTTAATAGTTTTTTATACCTTGTTACGACCTCTTTTATTAAGAAAAAGTCTTTTTAGGCCTTGCCACTTGACGGTATAATTTATTTAGGCCTCAATTGGCATTGCCTTTGGGTTTCAAAACATAACTTTTAAACACAAAGGCAAAGTTAAATACAGTATAGTTTGTGTTAAAAATATTTTTTGATGGTTAAAAGTGAGTCAATTGCAAATATTAATTTGAAGATGCAGACGCAATTACAATTTGTAATTTATGATTTGAAGGCAAAATGATCAAATACTCAATTATTTATATTTGATAAAAATAATCTATTTTTTTCCTTTTAACATCATGTCTTTTCTAGACTTTTTAATTTTTCATAATAATTTTTCTCAACAACATCAAACATTCACAAATATTCAAGCTGAGTTATTTCCAGCTAAAATAGCAATGTAGGCCTTTGGAAGATGAAATTTGTCGTATGACATTAAATTTGATTCAGTAATAAAAAACACTGACAATATAAAAAAGATTTAAAAAATTATTTGATACAGTAATAATGTAGTTTTTGAACTCCATAAGCGGAGTTAAGAAGATAATACATATTTTATTTTTTAAAAGTTAAAATTTTTTAAATATATAAGAGATATATATCATCATTTTAATCTCGTTTATGGAGTTAAAAATTTCATCATCAATGTATTTGATAATTTTTTAAAAAAATTAATGTAAATTTATCTTTCTTAAAGGGATCTAAAGTCACTTAAAACTTGGTGTGATATAAAAGCAAAAGAAAAAGGAGAATAAGAAATCATAAGTAAAGTCCATTAGTTAATTCGGTTGAAAGGAATAACATGACATATAACATGTAAATTCAGTTGAGCTTAACCGTTTTTTAGTGATTTAACTGCAGCCAAATGCCATCTTTTGGGTCTAATCTTATTTTTCGATTTTTTATTTGAAAGAAGAGGATTTGAATTATGCTCTATGAAAACAATTCATGCACTAATCATTAAATCTAATGTTGAAATGAGATTCCTTTCCTATAGCTATTGGCTCCCCCACATGTTTCAAATGTTACAATCTTCGAATTGTTGTCTGATCTAGGATTAGATTATAGATTCATTTTAGGAACGTTCAGGGTATAATGTGAGCTCAATTTTCTTAATAAGTTTAGATTTTTTAAAGGTAAATTGTCATTTCCGTCTGATTTACTTTGTTCATTGTGCGAGCTGATGTTTCAACATCATCACTAGTAAAATCATATTATTCTTCCTCACCACAGTCAGCTTCAATTTCACTATTAAATTCACTTTTAGTCATTATATTGTCATAATGAAATCTAGCAATGTGTGAACTACTAGCACCTATATGGATATTTGACTTCCTATTGTCCATCCTATCATTCCCCCTACCATTATCATTCCCATTAGCTTATGCAGATCCTAACTTATCAACAGTATCATCAGAATAACTAATTTTATAAGTAGGTATGGAAGAAAAGCTACCTTTAGTGATTGACTTGAACATTGTTTGAAGAGGAATTGCATGAGTAATTTCCATGTAAAAAGTGGGTTTCTTTAAACCTTCATGCATTTGGAACAACTGCATTACATCAGCATCAGTTCTGATCAACTCCAAAAATTCTTTTGATTTTGCATGCGGTCCTTAAATCCCTAAAGTCATTTCCATGCCAGTGTTGAAATCATCTGTGGTAGCTTTAAATATGTCATTGGTCAACTCCAAGAAGGAGTACTTATTGAAATCAACATTCTCTATCACTTTCATATTGGAGTTGAAATAGATCACCAAGTCATGTAGCTCTAGACTCGACATCAATAGTTGTTACAACAAAAAATTTTTTGTTTAAAGAATGTAGATAGTATATTTTTTGCAATGAAACAATTACCATTGTGAGGTTAGAAAAAAAAAATTCTTGCAACTAGAGATTGAAATCCCCAAATTAGATTAGGTTAAGGTTTAACTTACCAATGCAGATGAATTTGATGAATTTAGCTTTATTTTTTTAAGTATAAAACATCTACTCCAAAGTTTGAAGAACTTTTCCGTGCTTTTGACTTCAAATAAACTACTAATCCTAAACTCACAATTCGATTAACTTAAAAAATGTGATTAGTTTAGACATTTGAATCTTCAAAGATGTAGTTTGAAGTGATTAAAGAAATTTGGAAACTAAAATCTGTGAGATGTTACTGAAAAATCATGAGGAAGGAGGAAGAAGCACCATAGGGTGCCATGTATAGCTTCCATGCTTGGCCAATTACATAATTTTTCAAATTCTATTAACAACGTTTATAATTTTGAAACAATATATCCATTTCTCAAATTAATGAATTGATTTTAAATTGAAATCAAAATTGAAGGACCGAATTAAATTTACCTATTTCTTAAGGAAATAAAATATTTAACTTCTAGTCACTTAACAGAATCCATTTCAAGTTCATGCCATGGCATGCAAGTCATTTCAACCAAGTAAATACGGTCCCCCATACAGATGATTCCAATACTACTTTTAAATAGACTCCAATAATATCCTATCTATAAATGTACACCATACCATTACTCATTCTAGTATTTATCCATCACTATTCTTTTCATTCGCCCACTCTAGGATACAATGATGAAGCCATCTCTGTTATGTTATGCATTTATTTTTATCATCCGCATTGCAAATGCAACTGCTCAGTGTAATAAGATGCACTGGCAAGGCCGGTGCCGGCCTGGACACCGGAGATCTTAGCGGTGGGAGCTTCCTAAAAGGGTTTGTACTTGGAACTGCTACGTCTGCATGTCAAATTGAAGGAATAGCTAATAAGGATGGTAGGGGGCCTATTATTAATGTTTTTGTGAAGCGACTCTATCATTTTCGGTAACACAACTATAGTCCAAATTTAATTTTTATTTGAGGTCTATTATCAGTACACATTTCTAAAATAATCCAAAATTTTTGATTTGTGTTCTTATTTGTGTTTTGGATTTTTTGTTGGAATAGACCACATTGCTAATTATAATACTGCTGATATGGCCGTTGATCAGTATCACTATTACAAGGTAAAGGTCCCCTTGAAATTTTGTTTCACCCGTTTTCCTTTAACAGTATAACGTAATAATTAGTAATAAATAAAATATGATATGATCTAATTAAATATTAACATTTGCGTTGCTGTTGATTTTTGTCTCACCATTTCTACAGGAAGATGTAGATATACTGGCAAAGTTCAAATTTGATGCATAAAGATTTTCTATTTCATTGCCCAGGATCTTTCCTGGTATTGCAATAATTAATGATTCAGTTGATTTTTTTTTAATTTATTAATGTTTGAGTTAATCCTTTGATTTTTTTTTTCTGGTAGAGGGAGTTGGAAGAGTAAATTGGTAGGGAGTTGCTTATTACAATAGGTTGATCAACTACTTAGTTAACAAAGATAAATGGAATTAATGCCATTGCCTGAAAGAAAATTTTAATTTCTTCTGCAATAATTAGCACAATCCTGACATAAGCCTGGTCTGGTTATTATTGTCCCTTCAATGGAAGTCACTTTTACAGCAAGTTTTCCCTGTATTTTCCAAAATGACAGAAAATGAAGAAAGCCTATGACTAGTAAGAAATTTTCTCATTGAAATATTTTCAAGAGAATTTGAGGGACTCTCAACAAATGAAATGTTGGATTCATCTTGTTGGGAAACATCACAACTTTGATATAATTTGTTGGACTAAAAGCCTCCAATCTAATCATAACAGTGAAAGTAAAATCAAATAATAAATTAAACACATAATTTAATACTCCTCATGTGTATGTATAGGAAACTGAACCTCTAACGTGACATTAACCTCAAATGTAGACATGATGAACCAATCATACAGTGTGAATTTTGCATTGTAAGCATAACAAATCTTATCACAGAGGTGATGCCGAATGGGGCACGGTGTACACTCTGATATCATGCTAATTAGATGACCATTTAAACTAAAATTAGTTGGTAATAGGTAAAGTGATTCTTATATATTCATGACCACCATATTTTAGGTTGGATGCCCATCCAAAATTTAACAAGGTATCAAAGTAGACGCGACCATAATTTGCTGTCTCCTCCATGATAGGTTTGTTATGCCTACACGTGAAGCTCATATTCGGTGATAGGTTTATTGTTCTTACACGTGAGGAGAAATATTAGAAAAGAGATAAAAAAAAAATCCATGTCTCTTAATCTTAAATTAGGTAACTTGAGCATATAAATATAACAAGAACCTTTTATCTATTATAAATTGATTCTAGGTTGAATGTTCACTGTAAAATTGTTTCTTTATGAACATTTTTTTTTTTCTAGAGGTTTTCATAAAGTATGTTACTTCCATATGAACATTTTTTCTCTCAGGTGCGAAAATTTTGCCCTTTCCAAGTTGCCATGGAAATTTATTCAAAGAAAAACTGAGTTGAATCTAACTGGAAACGTTTTAGTGGAAGTGAGACTTGTAGTTATTGCATTTGGATGAAGTAAATATTTATTATGTTAACTAATTGAGGTAACCTTGTAGTCGTTCTCTCAGTCTCTC